GATTCGTAATGACTCTCGAAAGCAGCACGTAGACGCGATTCAGTAGGGAAATCGGTCTGTAGTTTGTAGCTCTGGAGGCGTGGAGTAGATGTGCGGTGGTCTTGTTCTTCAAGAAAGACGACAACGCTCTCTTGAAGAACAAGACCATCGCACTCCTATTCCAAGCCTCCAGAGTAGTGCCACAATGGAGGACGGAATTAAAGAGCTTTTGAAATACTTCAAGTACCGGTTTCCAACCTGTTTCAAAAGTTCCGCTGTAATTTAATTCTCACCTGGGGCCTTGCTCTTTTTAAAGTGCTGAAGAGCCATTCTCATCTCGGTCAGACTTACGTCCGGGATATTTTGGGAAAAGTGTCAGATAAGACTCGCTCTTGGATTGTTACTCACACTTTCTTGTGGCTCCAACGATGACGTGTACAGCTGCCCATAGAACCTCTTAATCTCACTCAAAATCTTAGGTGCCCCGAAACCATGCTGCCATACTCGGTCTTCAGCTTTGACAGTTAGCTTTTTCTGGCAGACAGATCTCTGGCAATGACTTTGAGTCTTAGTTCCGGTCGATCGCTTCTTCAATACAAGCTGTATTGAAGTTGCGTAAGTCCCGCCGCATGCAAATGGAGATCTGTCTCTTCAGTTGCCCGTATGCTGTAGAATCTGTTGAAGTTTGTAGCTTCATCTCCCGTCTAACAGCCATGAGATTAAGAGTGTGATTGGAGAGTTTTTGTGTTCTTCTGCGGTGGGTCTTACAGAACCTAGCTACGCCCGCATGGACAGTTTCCACGAGCTTGTCATTCATATTGTCCACTTCATGGCAATCTGTTAGGCACTGAAAACAGTTTATAACTCAAGCTGAAAAGTTTCAGGACTTTGGAATAGAGCACGAGGGAGACGGAGCGTTGACTTCATTAGACGAGACCTCTCCAACTTAACGTTTAGGTTCAGTGTGCCGCTAACCATTCGGTGGTCGCTACCAATTTTCACCCTCGCGATTACGGAGACATCACTGAACAGTTATCGTCTGGTCGTCATAATAATGAAGTCAATCTCATTTTTTGTCAAACCGTCGGGGTTCGACCAGGTCCACTTCCTGTGGGGCCGCTTCTGTAAGAAAGAATTCATCATAATGAGTCCCTCTTTCTCCATGAAGTCGGCCAGCTGCTGGCCTCTTGAGTTCCGTTGCCCTATTCCAAATTTCCCTAGTTTCAGCTCACCGTTCTCTCTTGTGAATAGTTTTGCATTGAAATCTCCCATTAACACCGTTTAGTAGGTTTTGGAGGAATGCATGGCTCTAAGAGATATCTCCTCATCACTTTTATATCATACATACATTTACTTCACCTCCTCATCAGGATGTGCCGAGGTTAGTGCGTAAACCTGTATGACCATCAGCGAATACCGTTCGGTGATTGTGAGTATAAGGTACGCAACCCTCGTTATTAACGAACCAACCAACGTTGTTAACGAGAGATTTGTGGGCGATAAATCCGACACCTCCTTGGGACAGATGGTCGCCCTCGCGGTTATAGAGCAAGTTGCCGGATTCGAGGATTACCGTGTCCTCCCCCTCTCTTCGGACCTCGAATAATCCTTTAATATGCCAGCGTAACTTGTCTGTGTCTTCTTCCAGCTCCACAATCTTATCGTCAGTCCTCAGGGTGCGTGCGTTGTATGTTGCTAGATCGAGCCTTCTTAGGTGGCAACCGAACCTCCACCGGAGATTCTTAGCATCCCCTGGCCCGCCGTTACCATGATCGCCACTATAGCCAGGAATAGCGGGACCGCCGGGGACTGGTAGCCGTCTCTTTGTTACTGTAATCAGTGGTGGGAGGGGGGAACTTTGCCATAGTTGCCACGCTTAACGAGCGGGTTGGCAACCGCAGTTTTTTATTGTAATTCTGCTGTTATCAGGAAGATGCTGCTGCCCATCTTCTGCCTATTTCCCACTGTCGGCTCTAACGACACCCACGGGAAGAAATGGGGTAGTATATATTCTTAACCGGCACTACATGGCAAATGATTAAAATGAAATGAATTTTTTTCTCCCTTGCACATTATGTTAGTCTCTACTAACATGTAAAGAGTAATGGGAATGGGAATACAGGACATGCCCTACTTTTTGTAGTTGCCTGGTATGTCCTGGATAGTTTTTAGTAGCTTCCTGGGTTTTAAAGCGCCCTGATAAGGTAACTTTTACAATTCTTAAGACACAGGCGTTCTCACGGCGTTTTAATTTTGTAATGTGTGGTATCGTTTGAATCTAGTCACATATAATAAGAACCGATGCTTGCATACATAGTACATACATTCGTCACTTTGTCGTTCGATTCGGTCGCAGATATGTTTGACAAGCCTTTACTGCTTCCTGTTTTTAAACCGTAGATTACCTCCTAATAGATTCTGCATACAGGGCCACAAACGCGCAACACATACTTGCTGTAGCTAGCATACGAAGTGAAGCTAAGAATCACGACATCAATATCGACCAAGTTTGTGATCCGTAGGCACGTCCGAGTTCTTGATAATTTAAAAATAGTTTTGTATCTAAAATACATTACAAATGGCTTCCTGTGCAGTAAAATGGTGTGACAAGTCAGCTAAAACATCCAGTTATCAAAAAGATGGCATAAATTTTAATTGGTAAGTAAATTCTATTCTTATCACGTTAACCTATTTCAAATGCACCGGAGATCAACTTATACTGGTATATTAATGATGCAAAGTGATAACAATTAAGCACCCGTTGATGTCTTTTTGAAATATCCCTTTCACTCGTTACGTAAATTACAATAGTTGTCTTTGTCTAACAACAGCACGTGTATCGATAGTGTTGTGATTTGTAAGTCGATATTTGTTTGGTCATGTTTAATTATTTTTATCGAAGTCATATTATTTTATAAAAATAGTGACGTATCAGTGTGGTACCTATATGTTATAGGTTTCCTAAATGCTCCGAAAGGAAAAAAGATGTGGATCGACGCAAATTGTCGAGGGGACGAATGGTTTCCCACCAAAAATAGTGCTCAAAACACTTCACAGAAGACAATCTTCATAATATTATGAAAAACCGTATAAAGCTGTTGGATTCTTGCCAGTTTTGGTATGGACATTTGCATTTTTTTTAAAGTTTAGTACTAACGTAAATTACACAATAATATCACTAAGTGGTTGAGTGAAACATGATATTCTTATATTTAGGTAAATGTTACACGTTGAAATCAAGCTATTTTGAACGGATTTATAAATCATAAAACTTGTAAAAGTTATAATGTGATTATTGTTTTGATTTGGTATTTAGTGTTACATGAACCTCAGTATTATCTTATTATAATTATTAAGTACATCTAAATTTGGAAGACGTGCCGTATGGTGTATTAATTAATAATACTATATCGGTAATGTTTTAAAAGAAACGAATATGTATTTCTGATTTAGATTACTGGTTCACCGCTGAAAGACGCGAAAAACCCGCCAACACCTAAAAATCAGAGTCATTGCTTAGAAACGCCTACAAAACAAAAAAGAATTTTTTTTGCTATACCTGTTACGCCATCTGCATTTAATACTCCAGTTAAAAACGTCTTTGTAGAAGAATCATCGAATTAACCAACGTAATGAACAAAAAAGATAAAAAAGTTAAAAAGTTAAGTGATTCCAACAGAAGACTAAAAACACAAATAGTTTCTTTGAAGTCACTATTGGTAGAATTAGAAAACAAAAATTCATTAGCAGCGGAAAACAATGACGCATTAAGTTCCTTAGAAAAATCAAAATCTAGAAAATCAGGCAAAATTGTTAGAAAAAAATATTCACCACAATTGAGAGCTTTTGCACTCACCATAAATTACTCAGCTAGGCTTATAATTATGTACGCAAAACATTTAATACTTCTTTACCTTCTGTAAAAACACTAGGAAAGTTTTAGTTTTAACACAATCAATTAAGCTTAATTATATATAATAATAATAATAAAATAATATATATAATAATAAAAATAATAAATATAAATAAATAAGCATAATTAAACAAATAAATAAGCAGTTTTGTTAATGAGGATATTTTTCATGAAATAAAAAAATCACCAATTCGATCACGAAAGTTGTAATCATGTCATTGATTTAGCTAAGAGTGTTATGGAAAAATACATAGACATACTCGTAAGATTACTCTACTCATCCAGGAAGACAGATCCTAAGAATTCTGTGAGACAATTTTATACTAAGATTATCCATTTTAAAAATCAGTCAAATATATATTTATAAATTAAATGTACAAATATATGTTTACAGCGATTAATTTTTTAATAAACATCAAATAAAAATTGATCAATATATTTATGTATCATTATCAATAATCAATAAATCCCAAATTTATCGATCAACGTCCCAACCCTGTTCCATCACTATGGTTTGGTACATTCTAAGTTTGACCTTTAAATATCCAATCACAGCGCATTTGCCACGTCCCCCGCAACCCTTGCATAGGGCCAAATTTGGTGCACTCGAAACAGAACAAATATTCAATGATGCGGTATCTATTAGGGGGTAATCTGTATTTTAAACTGAATTGTCCTGGTTTATCCAACTGCAAATACTAGTTTTTTAAATTTGGGGTTGGCAACCCTGCACGCCTGTATATGGAGTATTCGGGAGTAAATATACTGCTCAGAGTACCTTTGATCTACTGTCTGTAGTTACTAGCATAGACTAATATAATACTGGAGACTGGAGAGTTACTAGCCCTACTAGCTACTACCCCATAGATAAATAAATATGTAGCAAGCTAGTTAGCCCTGTGAGTATCATTATCCCTGTGAGCACAGAGTACATTATATATAGGGAACCTGTGAGTATCATTATTCTCTGACTAGTATATAGATTCGGGTAGAACCTACTAGTTAGTCTGTGGTATATACAGTTATCTGTGATCATTTTCATTATCACGGGAAAATAAATAACCTCTTATTTTTTCTACAATTCAATTATATTTTGTACGTAATAAAGATGGCAAAACCTGTGGATCTGGAATTGAAAAAAGCTTTTACGGAATTACAAGTAAAAATGGTCGAAACTAGTAAAAAAATCCAAATTATTGACTCTCAAATTAACACACTGAAACGAGTGTTGCAGCATGTAGATATTACTCAGCGCGAAATCAGCACATTACCACCTGGGATAAAAACATACGAATCCATAGGCAGAATGTTCCTTCTTACCGACTTAGAAGAAGTGAAAAATAATCTCAAAACTCGAGTGTCCCAATTGACCAAGCGCACGACTGATTTAGAGAATAATAAGCAATATTTAGAAAAAAACCTTAAGGAAAGCGAGGATAACATTCGAGAGATGGTGCAGCAAAGAAAGGAGCAGAGCGAGGCTAAAGCAAATTAGTCAATGTGTATAGCCTAAAATGGTTGTCGTTAAGTTTCCTTGTCATTTAATAAACATCTTGATTTAACAATGATACCTAATTTTATCTTACATCGCTTTTTATGCAGGAATGGTTGAAAGATTCATGTTTTCAATATGACTGTAAATTTTCAATTTGTTACAAAATTTCAAATATCCTGCTAAATTTTTTTCATTTTATTTCACAGATTATTGATTATAGGTTAATAAATTTGTATTTATTATTCCTCCAATCTAAACCTGTATGTAAGAAAATTTACTTAAAATGGAAAAATTTACTTGAGAAATATGTCTAACAAAGGCTTTTCCAGCTACAGCTAGAGATGAGATGTGCTATGAAGTAAGTAATCCCGATTATTGATGTCTATTTACCTTTGCTTATTCTTATATTTTAAAATACTTAAAATTTTAATATTATTAAAACATATTACGGGTTAAGCCACACTAGGACTTTCTCTAGTATTGTGGAGGCAGTTAAGATATATTTATTGGATAAGGAAAAACATCCAAACCTGGAATAATAATTTGTAGGCCATACAAATACTTTATAGCATTCAAACCCACAGTTCTCAGGATTACAACTCAATGCTAAAGCACTGCACCACTAAGCCGTCATTTGCATAAAGAACATAAGTTTTCCCACATAAATTGTATTAATATGATATAATAGTAATCACCTCTAGCTACTGCATTAATAATAAAAAGCATTCTTAAACAGAATTTAATATATTCATATTTGTATTTTTGCATCATTACATTAAGGAATATTATATTTACTAAGGAATAAGGAATTGCAGTAACAATTACAAAAAATAAAACAACTTTTCTAATAATATTTCATTTCATTTAATGCCAAAATCATGTTTCCCCAAAGAGAGCATTGACAGCATTTGTTAAGGTACAGTAAGGATCAATGGCCTCGCTGTGTAACCAAGGGTCCTGGGGCAAAAATTAAATTGGACCCTACTTTAATGGTGCAAAACTACTTCATCATCAGCTTGTCGCCCACTGCAGGTCATAATAAAGCAAATCTACTTACTACTAAGTATTATGTGTAACGCATAAACAATGAGGAAGTAGATTACAGTTAATGATAAAGGCAGACGACATAACAGTGGAAGTGCCACACTGCAGCTTTTGCTGATGGGTGGGCCAGATTAGATGGAGTGACGACCTGGTAAGACATGAAATGAAGAGCTGTAATGAATGGGTGGTCTGGCTCGAACCGAGGAGGTACCACGACCTTAAGAATAGCCAGCGTGAAGTAAAAGCTTACTTCGCCTGGTAAGTGTAGGTGGTCGGAGGCCTAACCCCTCTCCCCTTTAACGTGGTAGTGTAAACCTTTCCAGGAGGGTACCAGCACCCTTGGTATTGGAGGATCCTTGGCTGAGCATCCACGCCCAAGCTACCCTACTCTTCCTTAGCGTGGGTGCTTAGGCTACCTCTCGTATCCTGGGGAGGAGAGGGGGCGAAATTCCGCTCAAGTCTAATATTGCTTGTGGCAAGTAGAGTAATAAGACAAAGGTGACCCCTGCCACGCCGTGAATTTCTGTGAATTTCTGCAACATCAGGGGATTTCATTAGAACGTTAACGAAGTGCATTAGATAACATCTGAAGATGACGAAGCCGACCTTGCTCTTTCTAACGGAGACGCAGGTATCCTCTCCGGTCGATATTTCTCTCCTATCGGAGGTACAAATTAGAACACCTTTGTGCCTCAGGCTGGAGTTTGCGTATACGTCAGAGAGGACATCTGTTTTCGACGCCTAGGCAGTTTTGAAGGTCAGCGATGATCATCCTCGTGTCTGATACGGGTGCCTCAATAGAGGTAATGCCGATACAGACCAACTTATCGACCACGTCCAAATCACTGCAGACTCCGTGCTACAGCAGGTACCATCTGCAGAGATCGAAATCCTTGGTGATTTTAACGACTACCACGCTGAATGGCTGGACGGATATCAGGTCTCCTCAATATCAGATATTGACGGCTTCGTGGCGCAGTGGCTTAGCAATCAGTTGTTGCGCTGGGGGCCGCGGGTTCGAATCCCGCACGGAACAAGTATTTGTATGGCCTACAAATAATTGTTCCGGGTCTGGATGTTTGTCCTTGTGCAATTTATGTTTGTAAACTGCCTCCACAACACAGGAGAAAATCCTAGTGCCTCACTAGGATTTTCTCCTGTGTTGTGGAGTAACGTTTTTTAAAAAGAAAAAAATAAATAAAAGAAAGGTCTCCGTCGACGCCTCTCTTGGCTCATTAGACCATTGACTGATCTGAACTATTGTGGCACTCACACTCCCATCGCGGTTGCGTTCTGCAGATCGCCGCCGTGTTTGGCACTATAGGTCGGCCGATTGGGACAGGATGCGGTCTGTTTTTGCATCCTTCCCTTGAGGCGAGGTGCGGGTATGCTTCTCACCGGATGATCCCAACTAGATTTTATCGCTGATGTGGTACTTCAGGGAATGGAAATCTTTTTTCTATCATGTGTGGTGCCTAGTTTCGTCGCTCCTGTAAAATTGCATAGCGCTATAATAGGAGTGCTTCACCAGAGCTAATAAAAAGAAGTATAATTTCACCTTCAGGTAGGTACGACACGGTTCACACAGCGCTCGGTGCGCATAGCACTACTCTCCCTAGACGTTAAGTCGAGTTGGCCTTTTTTTATAGGATAGGGTGGCAAACGAGCAAACAGTCCGCCTGATGGTAAGTGGTTACTGTGACCCATAGACATCTACATCTATCATCAATAAAGACTCAAGATGCAGATACCTTGTCACCCGTGAGGACAGATGGAATGCCTCTTTGCTAGTAAAAAGGGTCTCCGGTTCTCTACACTCACCATACGAAACACAGCAGCGTTAAGCTGCTATTTTACGCTGGTTTTCTGTCAGAGCGTGGTATTTCCCCGGTCGAGCCGACCCATTCGTGCTACAACTATACTACTAATATAGCTGCAGCATGGCTCTACCACGTAAAATGGATGAATGGCCTGATGGAGTTCCTCCCATTGTGTGAAGATGTGCGCTCCCTAGTTGGCACCGATCGTAAGGTGCCTTTTCTAAGACTCTTTCTTCCTAGGTGTAGTAACGAACTCAAAGACGACAGCTTTAGTGCGACAGATCCCTAAAAAAAAACCGAAAATCGACCGCTCAGAACTATCCTATTTGTTCTCCAAAATAATGAAAACCTTCGTGAACTGCCAGCTTATGAGGTTGAGGATCACCAACTGAAAAGTGAGTGCCAGTTCGATTTCCGTCGGGGTTGATAAGCTGGTGATCTTCTGGCTTACCTGACTCATAAATTGGCGGAGGCAGAGAGGGAGACCCTGACCGTTAGTTTTGTAAGGCCTTTGATCGGGTTAGCACAAAGCGCTTCTTTCGAAGCTCCATTCCTATGGCCTTCTCGAGAATTTGTGCAACTGGATCAGCAGTTTTCTTGCAGATTGGAGCAACAAAGTCTTAGTAGAAGGTGCATGCTCCATTTACAAGGATATTTATGCTGGTGATCCACAAGGCTATGTGCTATTACCTACGCTCTTTCTTCTGCTTATCAATAATATGTTACAAACCAGGAACGTGCTCTGGTGATGCTTTATAAACTGGCTGTGTCTATATTTCTCGAGAAAACGTCACCGAGTACCGGAACAAACTTGTGTCTGAAGTCGAGTCTTTGCCGGATAAGGTCTCGGATTGGGGCAACTAAATCTATTTAAGACAGAAGACACTAGTTTGCGCGTTTACCACTAAAATAAACCCCTATGTCCTAACTGCTCAATTTCAGAGCACTCGGCGCGGAATTTTCAGCGTTGACATATCGAATAACGTGCAGTTTCGTGGTCACTTGGAAGGGAAGGTTGAATTGGCCTCTAAAAAGCTTGGCGTGCTCAGCAGAGTGGGATATATTTTATGCCAGCACACTGCTTACAACTTTACAAGGTACAGGTTCGGCCTAATATGGAATACTGTTCTCATCACCGGGCCGGGGCTCCCTAGTACCAGCTCCTTCCACTTGATCGCATCCAGCGCAGAGCGGCTCGAATCGTCGGCGACCGACGAATACTAAAGACGAGACGACGAGTGTCGCATCTCTTTGCATTTTCTATCGCATTTATCATGGGAAGTGTTCAGAGGAATTGTTCGGATTAATTCCAGCCACAAAATTTCATCAACGCATTTTACAAATCCAGATCATCGGGATGTTTGGCGGTCCACTACTGTCCGATTTATTAGGAGTTTTCTTCCTCGCACGACTTCTTTGTGGAATCGTTTACCACCGGCGATTTTCCGGACCGATACGACTTAGGGACCTTCAAAAAACGAGCTTACTCCTTTTTAAAAAGCCGGCAACGCGCCCGCAACTCCCCTGGTGTTGTATTTGTTAATGTGGTCGTCGACACTTGCCATCAGGTGAGCCGCATGCTCGTTTGTCCCCCTCTTCTATATAAAAAAGTCAATAAAAGGAAGAAGAAAATTATCTTTAACATTGTTATATTTATGTTCTGGAAGTGGAAGTAATTTTTATGATTTCAGTTCGAGCCGTTCGCGGTCAGGGGCCAAAAGTTAAAACTCGAAAATTCTTAATGGAACTAGGATAGTACATAATTTTTCGAACGTTCTTAGAGCCCGAAGGGCTCCTTTAGCTTCGGTCCCCGGAGCACTGCCCCGCCTAGCCCCTGGGTAACTACGGCACTGGTAGGGATCTACATATTAATGTGTATTGAATAGACTGAATTTAATAAGTTCAAATCTAGGTACTTATCATTAACAGGGGTAGCCATGAAAGAGGTCAGAAGGGTGGATAAATAGATGTATTCTTAGGTAATAATACTGCAGTCCTCCCCAGCCATCCAAGATTCAAATGGACTGTAATTTCGTGTCACTTAATTATTAAAAAAAACCTAAGTACACTAATATATACCATGTATGTCTCACAGTTTGGCCTCATACTTAAATCCTTACTAGTACAGTCTGTTAT